ATTTGTGCTGGGACAGGAGGTTTTTGGAGGGGGGGAGAGAGGGGGAAATTTGAGGGGTAGATGAATGATGCTAGGAGGGGGGAGTTTGGGAGGAATTTGATTTGAACAGGGAGGGGGGATTTGCATTGGAAGAGGGGGAATTATTTTGGAAGGAGAAATTTGGCTTGCAACTGGAATTTATGCTTAGGCATAAGCTTAGTGAAAAGATTAGTGTTCACATTTTTTTTTAGGAGGGGAAGGATTTTTTGCTGACACATAATGTTCATACATTTGGGAGAGGATGGTGTGTTTTGGCATCTTCACCCTGGGGACTAGCAGGGTGGGGGATTAGTGCTAGGAGAGGGGATCTGGGGGGGGGGGGGGATTTGTGCTGGGATAGGAGGTTTTTGGAGGGGAAGAGAGGGGGACATTTGAGGGGTAGATGAATTATGCTAGGAGGGGGGAGTTTGAGAGGCATCTGCTTTGATCAGGAAGCAGGGATTTGCACTGGAAGAGGGGGAATTATTTACTAGAATTTAAGCTTAGGGGTAAGCTTAGTGAAAAACATTAGGGCTCAAATATTTTTTTAGGAGGAGGGGGAGGATTTTTGCTGATGCATAATGCTCAAACATTTGGGTGAGGGGTGTGTGGTTTGGCATATTCGCCCTGGGGACTAGCTGGGAGGGGGAATTAGTGCTAGGAAAGGGGATCGGGGGGTAATTGTGCTGGGACAGGAGGTTTTTGGAGGGGGGGGAGAGGGGGAAATGTGAGGGGTAAATGAATTATACTAGGAGGGGGTAGTTTGGGAGGCACCTGATTTGATCAGGGAGGGGGGATTTGCACTGGAAGAGGGGGAATTATACTGGAGGGAGAAATTTGGCTTGCAACTAGAAATTAAGCTTAGGGGTAAGCTTAAATGAAAAGATTAGTGCTGATTTTTTTTTTTTAGGAGGAGAGGGAGGATTTTTGCTGACACATATTGCTCATACATTTGGGGGAGGGATGTGTGGTTTGGCATCTTCACCTGGGCGCTAGATGACCTTGTCTCAGCACTGGTTAGCATAAGAACAAGAGGAGAGAGCAGGGGCGGACTGACCATTTGGAAACTCAGGCACTGCCCGAGGGCCCGGGGTCAGTAGGGGGCCCCATGAGATGCCCCTGGTACCTTTTTCATAGGCTTTTTTGAGTTTGGGCAAGGACACAGGGGCCCCATGATCCCCTATTGCCCGGGGGCCCCATGAGTTGTCAGTCCGCCCCTGGGAGAGAGTAACAGGGAGTGCATGTAAGAAAGAGAGGGGAGTGATAGAACAAACATAAAAAAGAGAGGAGAGTACAAGGATGGGAGAGTTAGCACAGCAAAGAGAAGAGAAAGAGAATATGTAGGAGAGAGAGAGGGAGTATGCATAGGAAAAGGGGGGGGGGTGTTATAAAGAACGGGTGGAAGAAAGCGTCAAAGAAAGAAAAAGCTGAATTAAAAGGAAACTGACAATAATGACCTCACTCGGTAGGATCAAGATGACAACCCCAGAACCTGAACTTTCAAAACACGTTTGCAGCATCTGCTCCCATTTTCTGTCTTCAGAGATTGATTTGAAGGATGGAAAAGGAGACTGGTACAGAAAAAATGAATGTTGGGGGAGGCACAGAAAGAGCAAGAGAAATATTATTTTTAAAAAATAGTGAAGAAAGGTGAGAAGGGGGAAGGATGAAGAGACAGGCAGATAATAAGAGTAGCGTATACTATTCAGTCTTTTTAGGATTATAAAAGGGAGATACTTATATGATATCTAAACCTTATAAAGTTACGTCGTCCTTGTAGATTTGCTCATTGTTAAATTATTTATGACTGCCAACCTGCAAAAGCTGCCATGTGCTGCAGAAAAGGTTTCCAAGTATAATTATTTATCATTTATTCATATGGTGACACTGTCAATGTAAGTCCACAGTGTGGGACAACCTGAGGACAGCAAGCAAAGGGATTATAAAAGGGAAGTCATTGGCTTAGTAAGGCCCTAGAGGTGCAGCGCTAAGTCAGACAAGGGCAAGGTGGTCTGTGTCAAAGGAAGAAAAAGGACCCTGAGAAGCCGAGAGTTAAAAATATCATTGTGCGCAGTCACTTAAGTAGACATGTGAAGAGCAAAAAACATTTGTTTGGTTTCGATTTGTTATTTAACACCTTCCCGCCCGGCCTATAGCAGATTGACGGCCGCTGTTGTGACTGGGCGTCATATGACGTCCTTTCAAAACAAGCCACTCATGCGGCCGCAGGGCTGCGCGGTGGTGCGATCTGTCACGGGCTGTGTCCATAGAACACAGCCGGTGACATATCACTACACCGGCCCATTGCCAGTGTCATGTGACCAGTCACAGCAAATCATATGATGCTTGTTTACAATGGATGGCTTCCTGTCATGCCATCCATTGTATACAATTATGTTGAAAGCTGTGACTGGTCAAGGCAGTCACATGATACAGACAGGGCCAGGACTGACCATTTGGAAACTAGGGCGCTGCCCGAGGGCCGGGGGTCATTAGGGGGCCCCATAAGATGCCCCTGGTACCTTTTTCATAGGCTTTTTTGAGTTTGGTCAAGGACACAGGGGCCCCATGATCCCCTATTGCCCGAGGGCCCCATGAGTTGTCAGTCCACCCCTGGGAGAGAGTAACAGGGAGTGAATGTAAGAAAGAGAGGGGAGTGATAGAACAAACATAAAAAAGAGAGGAGAGTACAAGGATGGGAGAGTTAGCACAGCAAAGAGAAGAGAAAGAGACAGGGCCAATCACAGCCCATCTGTATCATGTGATCAGCTTTGCCCAATCACAGTTAATCACAACAAAAGAGTGAATGAATCAGTTTCATTCAGTAACAATGATTGCAAATATCAATGAAATACATTGGTATTAGCAATCATAATGTGTTAAAATAAAAAAAAAATCCTGATCACACAGAGTAGTTCAATGTTACTATGGTAACATTGTATTGCTTTGGTCACAGTGTGCTGAAAAATAAAATAGTAAAAAAAATAAAAAAAAATAATAGAAACATTTAAAAAAAATACAAATTCAATTATTATTCTTATTTTCACCAAAGAAATGTAGCAGAATACATGTTGACCTAAATTTATGAAGAAAAAATTTTATTTTTCCAAGAAATAATTTTATTGGGAAAGTTAAGGCAGATCAATGTACATACAAATAAGGATTACAGTCCGAACCAGGGGCGGACTGACAACTCATGGGGCCCCCGGGCAATAGGAGATCATGGGGCCCTGTGTCCTTGCCCAAACAAGCTTATGAAAAAGGTACCAGGGGCATCTCATGGGGCCCCCTACTGACCCCGGGCCCTCGCGCAGTGCCCGAGTTTCCAAATGGTCAGTCCCGCCCCTGGTCCGAACATAGACACAATATGCAGCATCCCGTTTCGCAGACGGGCTATGGGTTTAAATTGTAGTACAAATCGAGGTGAGGTATATCTTTATATCAAAGGTGTATAGCAAACCAGCAGATACAAAGAGTGTAATAGATAAATTGTTATAGGTATATTAATTACTGACCTATCTACTTGTAAGCCCTTATGATTTGCAAAATTTTATAACCGAAACAAAGAAAAGTGCATTTTTTTTTCAAAGGTTTCAGGTGTTTTTTGTTTTATTTAACAAAAAATAAAAAAACTCAGTGGCGATTAAATACCACCAAAAGAAAGCTCTATTTGTGTAAAAAATGATAAAAAGTTCATATGGGTACAGTGTTGCATGACCGCGCAATTGTCATTCAAAGTGCAACAGCGCTGAAAGTTGAAAATTGGCCTGGGCAGGAAGGGAGTATAAGTGCCCGGTATTGAAATGGTTAAATAATTTCATTTAGTTAAATTAGTTCAATTAGTTTTCAGAATTTGTTTTGTTTCGTTTTGTTTATTCGTTCACATTCGATTTGAATTTTCCTCTCAGTCAGTTTTAGTAGAACCTGGGTCTTAGAATTCAGGCCCTCAAGTCTCCCACATGAGGCCGCATAGACTCATAGTTGCCTGGGAGGGCAACGTGCCCTCTCCCAGGCTGGAACAATCCTATACAGGAAAGACCCAGAACTCAGTGGGGTTTATTTACTAAAGCTGAAGAGTGCAAAATGAGAGACTTCTGCATAGAAATAAATCAGCTTCCAAGTTTCATTGCCAAAGCCAAATTGCACAAGCTGAGGTTAGAAGCTGATTGGTTTCTATGCAAAAGTGAGCATGATTTTGCACTCTCCAGCTTTAGTAAGTAAACTCCAGTGTGCTCATAGAATATATACCATTACCCAGCATGCCTACAGAGCCTCTTTCTCTGGGATAGGCCAGGGTTGTAATTATATTCATGCTTCCATCTGCATAACTCCACCCCTATTATCTAGAAACTGGTCAAGCTTTCTGGATGCAGAGGGAGCTATCAGGCTGGCAGCAGCTGAGCAAACTGAGCAGATCTAACTAGCAGAACACAGCATCACTGATTACAGTAAGCAAGTTATGATTTTAGCTAGCAACAATTACATTCACACTGTCTACAGTAGTCATTCTCAACCAGGGTTCTGTGGAACCCTATGGTTCCTTCAGAGGTGGCTAGATCTTCCTTAAAAGTTGGCTAACTGATCTCCAATGTGATGGTGCCTGCGTAGCTCCAGGGCCAATGCCACATAGCAGAGCCAGAGGCATGACTGTAAGGGTGGCATTCTTGTAGATCTCATTGGATTTTATTTGAAATGTGGATGAAATTCATTTCTAGTAAAAGAAATTAGTAAAGCACAATGCTTTGGAGGGAGAGGAGTACAAAAGAGGATAAAATAGTTTTTGACTTCTTCCACTATGGCCATTTAACAGAGACTGGATATGAACCAGGCAGCTCCTCTTTTGCGGGATTCTTAATTTAAATGTGATGGACTTCAGCTGGAGGCCTTCAAAGGCCAAGTATGAGAACTCCTCTATGGCAAAGCGGACCAGAAATGAGAAAGGCTTTCCAGACTTTTCCAAGGCAATAGTATGGTGAGCTTGTCTAGCTCAAACTGGAAGCAAACCATGGTGTCTGACCCCTCCTGGAAGGGGAGATTCTGTCCCTCTGCTCCATTCCCCAGACATTGTCCTCCAGTGAGTTCAAGACCAGAACATACTGCTCTCCATGATAGTCAAATCGAGCATTAAACTGCACCACTAAATTCTTAGAATCTCTTCCCAAGTTTATGAAAAACCTCTTACAGCCCTCCAGAATGTAGCCATCCACCTCCACACATTGACCAGCTTTGAGGCCAAAGGTATACAAGAAAAAATTATTATCTGCCATCCTGCTTCCTTATCAGAGACACTTGTAGACTGGCATTCTGACCACTATTGTAACGGGAGCAGGGGTGAACTGACCATTTGGAAATACGGGCACTGGAGGGCCCGGGGGCAGTAGGGGGCCCCATGACATGCCCCTGGTACCTTTTTCACAGGCTTTCCTGAGTTTGGGCAAGGACACAGGGGCCCCATGATCCCCTATTGCCCGGGGGCCCCATGAGTTGTCAGTCCGCCCCTGAACGGGAGTATTCTTCCTATTGACCACCATCAACGTAAGGGGCATTTTCCCAGTAATGACCAGTAGACTAATCTTAGCAGAGGATCCCTGATATCTGAAAATTATTGCAAAGGTTTTCTTTTGGTTAAAAGGGTTGAGAAAGACTGGTCTACAATGTGATAACTAAATTTTATGTATCAAAATACAAATAAATCTAACTATCGAAACCTAGCACCTCTCTAGGAGGGTGCTGCACTAATTTTTTACTTGTATATTAAAATGATTTTAGCAAATGCAGAGTCTTTTGAGGTTTTTCGGCTGTGGTGATGGAAAATGTAATTCTACGTAATTCTTCCTGGTAATGGGGAGGGTCTATCTAGTACGCAAGTATTTGGGATCTGGAGCCTGATGCTGGTAGTTACTGATATGCTGCTTTCATTGCTCCAAACTTTTCTCCTCTGCTCCCCCATCAATCTAATACATTTGCAGCATTTTTTCCTTCATTGTACAGACCTTTTTTTCTTGTTTGCAGCCCCCACTTCCAGATTCTTTGGCTAGGCGAGGATGGCACAGTTGTCTACACAATGCCTCCTGTGATGGCCACCTATACAGTATACAATCCAATGAGACAGCCAAACAAATGTCCAAGAGTCCAACATTTTATTGAAAAAATGTATTCTTAGCAGAAAAAAATAAACCAATGTGTTTCGGTGGTCAAACAAGCCTTTCATCAGGGCTAAGAATTTGGACTGTGCTTATACAGACTGAGGTAAGCAGATACCAATTAGATCTGCACTATGATTTACTGTCTGGAACAGTTTTAGCAGGGCAGGTTAAGCCAGTGCTAATGAATGCAACAAAGGACCAAAGTCTGTTTAAGCACAGTCAAAATTCCTAAGCCCTGATCAAGAGGCGTGTTGGATTTTTCTGCTGTGAATCAGTAAAGCTACTATAGGGCGGTTGGCAACTGGTTACTTAAGTAGGGTAACTGCTTGTGGACCACCCAACTGCAATGTACTGTGGAAGGCAAAGCATTGGTACCTGTGAGTCGCCACCTGTTTCCCCGCCCACCTACTCCCGCTGTGATTTTATGCAGCAAAAGCCTGTCAGCAATTCCAATGATTCATGGTTGGGATCTGCTGATTGGATGTGTACAATCACAACCCAGAGCCCTGTGTTGACAATCAACACAGAGCTCTGTACAGTGGAAACAATCTCTCTGCTTCTCATCTCTACAAAGCGAGAAGTCTATTGGTAAAAAGCATAATTTAATACACACATTTCACATAGTTAGGTACACATTTAACTCCTTGATCACCCTAGATGTTAACCCCTTCCCAGCCAGTGTCATTAGTACAGTGTATAGTGATACCACTGATCACTGTAATAATGTCACTGCTGATGTTAGTGGCAGTTAGTCAGTTCCCACCAGTCTCAGTTAGTGTCAGATTGCCTGCTGCACTATCGCAGTCCTGTTATTAGTCGCTGATCATCACCATTAGTAGTATATAAAAAAAATTCCAGTACTGTATGTATACCTTAGTTTTTAGGGCGCTATACTGTCATGTAACCAATCAATATACACTTTTATTGGGATTTTTTTAATCAAAAACATGTAGCGGAATACATTTTGGCCAAGATTTATGAAGGAATTTGATTTTCTAAATTTTCTATTGGATATATTTTGTAGCAGTATTGCAATATTATTTGTCACATACCTTATAGCAGAGCCTAACGTGTAGAAGGAGGCTTCTCTTACAGTTCCCGGCCACTGGTGATGAGACAGTGGCCGCCAGAACCTGTAAGGCATCCTGCCAACCGTATAGTTAAGTAGCAAATGAGTAGCAAGATATGTCAGATGGCCAAATCAGCAAGTGGCAGCAGCCAACCCTGGACTTGGCAGACAGCAGGCGGGCAGTTACTTGGCTGGCAGATGACTTGTTACAGGTGCAGAAGAGGCTGGCAGCATGTGGCAGGTAAAGGACCAGCAGGGATCAGGTAAGTAGCATACAGAGTTCAGAAAACAGATAATTGAATGTTTGGTCAGATGAGCCGGGTCAGCAGCAGATGGTCAGGTAGAGACAATGGACAACAGGCAGGGGAATGGTCAAGGTACAACAGAAGTCAGCAACACATGAAGAGCAGATGAAGATGCAAGCAGAATCCAGAGACAAGCCAAGGTCAGGGCAGGTTGCGTTCAAGCATGGTCAGGGCAAGCCGGGTCAACCACAGAGGTAAAAAACAGGAACATATACAGGAACACAGGGAGAGCTGTGGATCAGATGCACTGACTAGTACAACTGCTGCACTTAAATAGTCCATTTGGTGCCAGTGTTAGCGGCAGGTGCACGGGCATATGTGCACGTCTATGCACAGAAAAATTAGCACATGCAGACATGTGCCTATGCATCTGTATGTGCCTTGAGCCATCATCTGTACTATGGCCAGTGCTTTCCTGACAGTATATTAATAGATTTCCTGGTTCTGGATTGGTGAGTATATTGTCCCAGAGAGATGAAAGGGTGTTTGTTGATGTAAAGTCAAGGACATTCTGTGGACTTAGTAGAATTGACGAGTACACCCTATGGAAGAAGATGACAAATATATGAAGACCGAGAAAGACTTGAAGGGCACTGAAGAAGACTTAGACTTTGTTTTTACCGTAAATATCATGCCTCCTGAAAAGAAAATAGTTGCTGCAAAATGTCTTGTAAAGTTTAGCATTCATTTTTATATAATAAAGAAAAAAAACTCATTTTCTTGTGTCTCATAGCATATGTTCCTTGCCTGGGTCATGGCTACAGGCTGTTATACAGATATAAATACAAAAGAAGTGAATAGATTTGTTATGTTACAGGGATTCCGGGAACATTTAGAAATGTTAATTGTGCTTACGTAGTATGCAGAAAAATGTACCCTTTGTTTGCAAGTCCTGAAAAAAAAAGTGCATTTCTTGTTATTTGAGCGTGCCTAGGCACTCCTATAATTACAGCCTTGTATCTCTATATCTGCAATGTGAGATTCAAGGCATTGCTATTTCTGACTTCTATTTTTCAGGAAATTTGGAGTGAGATTTTGTGATGTCGCTACTGTGCTGCTCATTGTTCTCCTTGTTGGAAGCTCTGATATGAGAAACCAAAGCCCTTGCTCTAACAAGATGGCTGTCGCCACACAGACATAAGGTGCAGAACAGTAGTAATAGCAGAAAAGCAGATGTTTTTGACACTGTTAGGGTAAGAGTAAGGGGACTTCTAGGAAGGGGTCTCTCTCTTTGGACCTGAGACTCAGTGCCCTAAGGCTAGATTCACATCTATGCAGTTTGCAGTTCATGGTTTTCCGACATGTTTTGTAGTGCATTTTGCATTTTTGAATATGCGTTTTCAATGTGTTTTTTATTTGTAGCACTACCCCCTAAGGAGTGATGTTTTTTGTCCCCCCTTATAGTCCTGCAAAGCCAGACAACACACATTTTCTTCAGATCTTGCACACAAGAGTCAGTAAACGGTCCTTGAGCTTGCTTTTATGTTTTATTAAGGGGTATTGAACTTGGATGAGGTTGAGAAGTGCATGGGATGTCCAAGGGAACTATAACTGAGCAACTATGTACAAGTCCATTAGACAAGCTCTGCCTGTAGATAGGCCCCTCCCCTGGGCCCCCTTCAAGGCTCCTGCATCCCAGCCTCAATCTCACTCTTCCATTCAAACACTCTTGCTGCTGGATCAGTCATAGTTAATAGTTGACCCCATGCCAAGCCTCCTGCCTGGGGATTGGTCAAGATCCTCTAATAATGCAGATCAGCCCTTCCTCTCCCCACCTGCTGCCTTCCAAAAATGTTTCTAGAGCAGAGGGAGGTATCAGGGAACTGATCTGCAGAGTCTTCAGAACTGACCTAAAATGACCTGGATGACTTACACCCAGGCTGTTTCGTGCAAAGACTGCTGCTCAACCTTTCTCTCTAGCTAGCTCCCCCTGGCTAACTAGAGGGGTGCTACACATTTTTTTTGACTAATAGGAAAGTATGATAGTTCTGTTCATGTAGTGTGACTTTGATGCAACTTTACACTTTCTGGCACTCAAGTAGCATTGAAGTCATATCAAAGTAGTGCAGGAATCTTTATGTGTCCAAAGTCGCATGTTAGGGTTAGGGTTAAGGGCTAGGGTCAAGGTTAAATGTTAGGGCTAAAGTTAGGGTTAGGGTGAGGGACAATTGAATCAAAATCTGCTTCATGGCCAGGTGTGGGCTACTCCATTATTTCTTCATCAATTAAGCAGGTAAAAGGTCTGGAGTTGATTCTAAATGTGGTATTTGCATTTGGAATTGTATTGCTGTGAACCTACCGCATGTGTTCAAAGGAGCTGTCCATGCAAGTGAAGCAGGCCATTGTAAGGCTTTAAAAATTAAACAAATCCATCAGAGAGATAGCAGCAACATTAGGAGTGGCCAAATCAACGGTTTGGTACATTCTGAGGTGAGAACGCACTGGTGAGCTCAGCAACATAAAAAGGCATGGATGTCCACAGGAGACAACAGTGGTGGATGATCGAAGGATCCTCTCTATAGTAAAGAAAAACCATTCACAACATCCAGACAAGTGAAGGACACTCTCCAGGAGGTGGGCGTATCATTTTCAAAGTGCACAATCAAGAGGAGACTTCATGAGAGAAAATACAGAGGGTTCACCACAAGGTGCAAACCATTCATAAGCCTGAAGAATAGAAAAACCAGATTAGACTTTGACAGAAAACATCTGAAAAAGCAAGACCAGTTCTGGAAAAGCATTCTTTG